GTGAGTACCTTTACCTCGTACGCTCGGGGGTGTCTGCACGGACGCTGGAAGGACGCGCCTCTCGCCCACGGACGGCCACGTGCGCGCGCTCTTCGTCCGTGGGAAGGCGGTTTTCGTCTTCTTGTCGATTTTTTTTTTTTTTTTTTTTACTTGGGATTCTTGCCAATTAGTTGTGAAGGAATGGAGCGGTGAAAGAATGACATGAAATAATGGAGAGACGAAGCTAGAGAAAAAAAGAGAGAGGGAGAGTTACATAGAGAGAGAGAGAGAGAGAGAGAGAGAGAGAGAGAGAGAGAGAGAGAGAGAGAGAGAGAGAGAGAGAGAGAGAGAGAGAGAGAGAGAGATTAGACTAACAGACAGACAGACAACACACACACAGATAGATAGACAGAGACAGAAACAGAGAGTCAAAGAGAAAAATTAATACTCTAGTATAGGGAGAAAAAAACAAAACAAAAATTAGATAATAGTAGTAGAAGAATAATTGTGGGAAAGAGAGCACAGCAACAATCAAGAAGAACAAGATGACGACCAGGGAAGAGCGAAATGGGGGGGGGGGGGGGGGTTGCAAAGTGTAGAATAAAGAGAGCAAATAAAAGGGAAATGCAGAGAAATAGATAAATTGATCCAGATATGGAGAGTGATATGGATATGAGATATATGTATAGATAGATGTAGACGTGCGTATAGATGTAGATGTATATAGAGAAAGTTTAGAAACAGATAGATACAGATAGAGATGTATACACACACAAGCACACGCGCACATACACACACAAACACGTGTTTTTGCGTGTGTGTGTGTGTGTGTGTGTGTGTGTGTGTGTGCGTGTGTGTGTGTGTGTGTGTGTGTGTGTGTGTGTGTGTGTGTGTGTGTGTGTGTGTGTGTGTGTGTGTGTGTGTGTGTTGTGTGTGTGTGTAAAGAGAGATGGCAAGGGGCCAAAATGCAGTTGCGTAGTAAAAGATAAAAAAAAAAAAAAAAAAAAAACAAAAAAAGGTAACAAAAAAGAAAATACAAAAAAGGAAAAAAAAAATTAAACACGTGCGGAATTATTTAATGTACAAGTGCATGTGACTCGGCAGCGGCCTCAGACGACGCGCGAGTGGGTGGTCCGGGCGTGTGTGGCAGAAGGAGGCGCTGCAGAAGGGCTTGAAGTGATCTTTCTGACTGCGCCGAAGATGATACTCTGGATCGGGAACCAGGCGGATGGCGGCAGGGAGGGGGACTTGGGAAAGCCGATTTATTGTCTAAAAGAAAGGAAAAAAGAAGAAAAAATAAAGATCTGCCAAGGAAAAAAAGTGAGAGAAAGCTGATTTGCCGTCAATTTATGCATTAAGGATAATTGTGACATACGAGGAAAAGATGATAATTTGTCACATGCGCACAAAAAAAAAAAAAAAAAAACGAAAAAAAGGAACATTAAAGAGCACTATGAATCCACTATCAAAGGGATATATATATTTTTTTTCTTCCTTTTTTTTTCTTTTTTTTTTCTTTGGTTAAGCTGTTTGGAATATTTGGCATTGTCGAAAAGAATATGATTTTTTTTTTCAGTGGTAAGAGCAAGATTTAGCAGAGCATTTCATATCCAATGTGGATACGGACTAGACTTGTGCCAAAAAATATAATCTTATATGCTAAATTTAAGAAAAAAAAAATGAAAGAAAGAAAGAAAGAGCAACGTAAAGCTATCCGGCCGTGTTTTTCCCCCCTTTTTTCATTCTTTCGTCGCATTAACTTTCACGATTTATTCAATTATGGCGGTAACCTCTCCCGCCAAATTTAAAAAGGTGGACATCACGCCGCAAAATAGACCGAGGCGACCGAGGAATGCGAAATGACAAGGGCGCCGTCATGAATCTTCTTTGCGACTTGTATTCGGCTTAATGATGTAAAAGAAGGGGGGGAGGGAGGGAGGGAAAAGGGAGAAAGGGGAGGGAGGGAGGATGAAGGAGGAGAAAAGGGGGAAAGGGAGGGAGGGTGAAAGGGGAAAGGGGGAGGGGTGAAAGGAGGGAGGGAAGGAGAGACGAGAAAGAAGGGAGGATGAAAGGGAGAAAAGGGGCGAGAAGGAGAGAAGAAGGGAAAAATGGAGAAGAGGAAAGAAGAGACGGAGGGAAAGAGAGGGAGGGGGATGAATAGGGGATGAGGGAGTGATGCAAGGGAAGGAGAAAGGAAAGAAGAGGGAGGAGAGATAAAAGGAAGGAAGGAGATCTAGGAGGAAGGAGGGAGAAAAGGGAAAGGAAGGAATGGAGAGAGAGAGAAGGGTAAAAAAAAAAAAGGAAGAAGAGAGAGAGGTAAAAAAAAAAAAAAAAATAAGAAAAAAGAGCAAGAAAGAAGAGAGAGAAGGGTTAGGTAGAGAGTACAAGGTTATCCGCCAAGGCTGTCTGTACCCCCCCCCCCCCCCCGCCTTGAGGTATGAATGCGCCGACTTATCATTTTGATTTCGGGAAGATTAATCTGTCTGGCTTGGAATGCACGACAGGCATCGTCATGGCGGCA